TATCCGCACGTGCTGCTTCCTGAGGACCTCATATATGACGCCGAGAGAATTGCTGAGTTAAGCTCCTCAGATGGACTTGAACACAAACAGGAATTTCTCAAGGCCATTATCAAGGAGTTCAGTGACTTATGCAAGAACGATTGTTTTAGCTTGGAAGTAATACCAGAGGAGCGATCTCCCCTGAGCACTCGTATAGTACTCAAGGTCAAGAGAAAAGGCGATGGTTCCTTTGACAAATTCAAGGCTAGGTGCGTGGTGCGCGGCTTCCTCGCCAAGATAGGACTTGATTTTTACGCCACGTACAGTCCCTCCTCTTCTCTAACTACATCTCGTACACTCATGGCACTGGCTGTTCACCACAACCTACCTATTCACCATAGCGACATAGCACAGGCCTTTATCCAAACCAAACTTGATAGACCAATTTTCATCTCCTTTCCTAAAGGTGTAGACATTAGGTCTGACTTGCTGGAAAGCATACAGGACAAGTTTCCAGACTCCAAACTGGGAATCCGATTGCTCAGATCCCTGTATGGCCTTAAGCAGGCACCTATGTTATGGAATAAACTTTTGAACTCAGTTCTACTAGAAGCTGGCTTCATTCGCAGCAAGAATGATACCAGTCTCTACATACATCACCATGAAGGTAAATGGGTCGCGTGTGCCGTATTTGTTGATGACATCTTGGTGACGGGGACTGACGTCAGCAAAATAGCGGAGCTGCGGAAACTGTTCCAAGAGAAATTCAAAGGAGAGCATCAATGGGATGAGAACATTAACTCCTTCCTGGGCATGGATATCTCGTATATTGACGGTGTACTCTCTATGAACGTCAAGGCCAAGATTGATGACTTGTTTAAGAAGTATCCTTTCCTAGCTAGCAGCAATCGTTGGTCTCAATCAACCTCTTCATCTATCGACAACCCTCCGAGTTTAGATGATGACGAACTGTCGGACTATCAACTGCAGCTGAAGGAAAACTTCGCTAGCATAGTGGGATCCTGCATCTACTTCTCCATCACCTGCAGGCCTGATCTCTCCACCATCGTGTCCAAAGCATGCAAAGGCATGCATGGGCCAAAGAAAATTCACATACTTTATTTACAGGCCATGATTCAATACCTTAAGGAGCACAGGGACCTCAGTCTTGTGTATCGTAAGAATAGCAAAGCCATTAGTCATATTGGTTCCCTGGCCGCTGCCTTTCCGGAAATGAATGATGTCCCTAGTAGCCCAGTAGTGGGTTTCTCTGATGCCGATTGGCTGCCCAAGGCCTCAGATGGAGAGCAAATGAAAAGCACCTCCGGACACTGCTTTTATGTATTTGGTAGTTTAGTGCAGTGGAACTCAAAGCGTCAAACTATTACGGCAGCCAGTACAATGCAAGCCGAGCTGATTGCCGCGTCCTCGGCCGCTGACAGTGCCGTGTGGTATCATACTCTACAGTGCGATTTTCCATTTTTATTCGGTTTAAGCCAAGATATTCCAGCCATTCCCATCATGATTGACAATAAAGCTGCATTAAGCGTCGCAAACCATCCTGAATCCTCACCCAGAACAAGGCATATCTGTCTGAGAGAATTCCGTATAAGAGATATGCACGAGGCCAAGCAGGTGCGGCCATACTGGTGCCCTGGCACCCATAATGTTGCAGATGTATTTACGAAGTTAGTACATAAAACATTGTTCCATAGATACTTGGATGTAATGGGAATGGAAGGTTCAAATCGATTGCATTCAGACTACCCATCACTACAGGGGACACACAGGTCCTTTATGTCAGAGGGGCTGCTTAATGAGTGGGTGGTGTCTCACAATTCCATCGACGAGGACATAATATTTGAGTTGCGGAAGTCACTAGACTTCGAGTCCTCTCAGGCTGTGTACACCTGGGACTACTGGAATGCCTCAAGCGGTCAATTGCCTGACAATTATTGTAAAAGTTTTGTATCATTACATTCCACTTCATTTTTGAATCCGCAGGAGTACAATCTCTGTGGCGATGGTCCTGTAAACACAGACGTCCTCAAACACCATGGCTCTGACAACTCTTCCCCGTCCTCTCGTGCTAAGTTGAATGTTGCTAAATTGCTTTACAAGCAGGGAATGGCAAAAAGAGCTACCAGGCTGGTGCAGGATCACCACCGCCGTGGATTGTCACCACCTGTTCCTTCCTGTCAGACTATGGTTGATGTAGACCCCTCGTTTGCAACACCTAACGCCCCATCTGCAGACTGGTCGCGCCTGTCTCGTGTGGTAGAATTGTTAGCTTGGGGTGCAATCTTATATCATGTCCTATATGCTTGAAGGCTCTGGAACAAAAATGCTCTACATGGATCTTCATTATTGGCTTACGATCCAGGGGGAGTAGAGAGATAGAGAGTTTTGTATCTCCCTAGTGGCTCGCTGGTACAGAGCCACCCAATTTCCTTCCCCTCCTTAATACTTTCTAACCCTGTTATAGCTGCTTCCCGCACTGTAATAGACGGAGAGTCTTCCTGGACCTAGTGAGGCAGATCCTCTGCCCGTTCGTCCAGTAGCCCCAGCCCCCGTACACTACGGCAGCTGAGGTGACGTGAGGATAACAGAGACGCCGGTGTACCGCCACTGCGTAACCTCGGTAGTTCACCCTCACACGGCAGGGCAGCCCCACTAGGCTGCCTCCCCGTGTCGGAGTTTACTATCTCGTTAGCTAATCAGCACTCAACACAGCATCAATAATTTGATTACTCGACCAACGGCCGTGGGACAACTCGTTTAGGTAGTTTGTTTCGCAACATCAAGGAGGTCTATGCGGCCATCGCAGACCACTTCGGCATCAACTCGGCGCTGACCCGAACAAATAAGAGGAAGGCGAAGATGATCGTCAAAGAGGTGCTCCTTCGTCTTGAGGAGGAAGAGCAGGAGGAGCAGTTACTCGACTAGAAAGCTACTTTTATTATGAACCACAATGGATCCATGAACCACATTGTATTATGACAAGGGCGAGATCGTAATGATTTATGTCAAGAGCGATCTAAACCTGGAACACGAGTATTTTGGCGAGGATCCATTGTACCGATTATTCCGAGAGTCCAAAACTGAATTCAAAATGGCCCGATCACTACGTTCTAGACTGACCCCTAAAATGATGAAGACAACGAAAGACCCCGTAAAAGAGTACCGGAAGACAATAAAGATCATCAAAGGTCAGCTTTCGACACTGCACCAGTTAGGCGCGGTTTATAACAAACGCTTTTACAGAAACAATATTGGAATCGAACTATTTGTAAGTCGTTATGGTTCTGACGGACGACTATTTGCAGGAGTCAAAGAGACGTATCCTGAGTTCTGCGAGACTTTCCCAGAACCAAAACCCACAGACGAATTGATTGCGATTAACGGAAGGGCGTTTCCGGATGATCCCTCAGCGAGTTTCTTCAACCAACTGGATGCTTATATATCTGCAGCAACAACAAGACCTTTAAACTTAACCTTTGTTCAAGGAGAGCACCGCGATAGAGCATTTCTTGAGCAGGTCGAGAAGCATAATCAAAATCGTGCAAAGAAAAAGCAGCCGAGACACCACGACGACAAAGACATGCGACGCTCTGTCGTATTGAACGTTGATTTGTAGACCTGCGTCCGCATGTGCGGTCGCTTGAATGCGTGGCCCCTTTCCCCAGCCGCACGCCCAGGCACTTGGCGAATTGGAGATGCTAGAACAATGAGTACCGGTCGCCTGGAACTATGGATCCATCTTCCAAAGATTCTACGAACTTGGATGTCAAGGGAAAAGAACACATTATATTCTTGTAAAACTACGAAATTTTACGCATACAGCTACATTTCACCAAATCCAACCAAGCTATTATGAATTACATACAAAATCAACATACGATAATTCCGTTATCGCTCTAAAGCATCTTTGCAAAATTCAAAAGGAAATTACTATGTTGGAACCAATAAGGGTGTATATATACTATGATGGAAACAAGTATGGTATGAAATGGTATGATGGAACCAATCGTTAATCATGAATATGCATGAAGTCTAAGTTCATGACATGGTACGGTTCCATCGTTCTCTCGATATTGGTTCCATCATACATATTAACTCATATTGTTTCCATCATGCATATGAGGATATTGATTCCATCATGCATATTCGAGCGTATTGGTTCCATCTCGCTTTATGCAATATTAAGTATTGTTGTTTCCATAAATGTATTGGTTCCATCATGCATATCCGCGGGTATTGGTTCCAGCATGCCATTCCGGATAATATATATTAGGTATTGGTTCCATCTTGCTTATAGGCATATTGGTTCCAGCAGGCGTGTGGAAACAATGTTTCCATCATGCATATCCGCGGGTATTGGTTCCAGGACAATATAAATAGTGTCACTTAGTAATAGTGATACTATCGTTCAGGCGGGGGATATGGGGCGATTGCACCGGCTTAGCATAGTCGTATTGACTTACAGGGGAGCGGGGCAGTGAGTTGGGCGGCCTACACTCAAAACCCGGAACCCGTATGGAATCAAACATCGCGGCGTAATACACTGCGGAAGATAGCCGGAGTCGCGCTCACGGCTCGTCGCTTCCAATGCGAGAGAGAGCTACTCGCCGCCCTCACCGCCCTCACCGCCCTCACCGCCCTCGCCGCCCTTCGCCGCGTCCCACTCGTCCTTGGCCGACGATTCCTCGCCCCCCTTGTAGGTGCTCTCACAGCCGTCTTCGCTGAATTTGCTGCAGTGAGACGCAGAGCCGCTCGCGCCGCTTTCGCAGATACACAGCTGGGTGCACTCCATGTCCCACGCTGCGCATCCAGACACGCTGGGATCTTCGCAAGCTGCCTCCGCACTAGAGGACGTGCAATCAGAGAGAAGCTCGAATCCTTCCGAGGCGGCCGAGTCCGCAGCAGAAACATCCCCCGAGCTGGATACAGAAATACACAACGGGTAGAATCCGTACGTGCTGTGGGTCCAAGAGAACGTGAAGGCGAGCCCGTACGTCGCGGGCATATCAACCACGGCCTTCATGTAACCCGTGTCAATGGACGCGAACCAGTCGAGGACACACTCTTCATACCTGTCGAATTCGACAAACCAGTACCCGAACCACTTACGGAAAGAGTCGCCGTCCACGTGATAGAATCCGACTTGAAACTCGACGTGGTCCAAGTTATAAACGGCATCAGTGGCCTCATGGGCCCCTGGAATGGGAATTTCGCTCATGAGTCCCTTCGCGAGCAGCTGCGCACAAGGCCACGGGTTGAGCATCGTGTAGTAGCTCGTCATGGCATCAACGCAGCCAGTTGCTATAGACTTGGGATCGACTCCGTGCTTGGTGCAGAGGTAGTTCACGATACCCTCGGGGTCAACCGTGCCGAAAACGTTAGACGTATCCACCTGGATGCGGCACTCGGACTCAGAAACTGAGCAGTCCTTCGACACCTCATCGTACACCATGACGGCGTGCTCGACGGAGTGTGCATACTTGCCCTCCCACATGCCGATGGACGGGATAGGGTCGAACTTGTGGAAGAAGCGTACGGAGCCCGGGGATGCACTAGCACAAGGCGCGCCCATACCATCAGAAACATAAGCGTTATATCCCTCAGTGGTAAGCAATGCTTTTTTTTTGGCATCATCATATGCGCATACTGAAGGCACATTAGTCTTATCGAATTCTTCGAACTG